AGTTTAACTGCCAATCTTAACAGACCACCAGTTTCTGAATTAAGAGAAATTATAAGACATCATATTAATTATTAAAATAAAATAAAAAATAAAATAAAAAAACCATACTATTTGAAACCATTTCAATAAATTCAGCTTCAGAAGGGCATGTCAATGTATCTCTCCAATGTATTTCCATTCCTTGACCGCGATGCAAGTTTAGTAATTCGACTAAGATAAATAATAATAATAATAAAGATGAAATTAAAAAGGCAAAATAATAATAAAAATACAAGTCATTCTTATTATAATGTAGTGAATTCTATAATATTAATTAGAGTGATTTATAAAATAAGGATATACTTACATGTGTAAACTTTGAGCATTTCCGGATTATCAAACTTTGTAAGTTCATTCAAAGCAAGGAAATAAACATAATTTGCACAGTTTATGGTTGAAGGCACTCCATATATAGAATGGGCGACTTAATAAATTTATTACAATTAGTTCATAAAATATTATTTTAATAATTATTAGGAAAAGACAGTTACCAGGAATACCACGACGCAAAACGGAACCATCTTCTACGTCATCTATTCTAGTAAAAGAACGAATAATAAATATTATAAAAAAAATCAATGAAGAATAGAGATTTTACTTACAATAAACTAGCAGTGTGCAACATTTCAACGACAGTGGTAATAGCGGACAATTTATCTTTGGGCACTTTAAGCCAATGATCAAAAGCATCAATCAATTTGCTTCTAATTTCTTTTCCAGGATTCGACGAAAGATAAGTATAAGGTTCTAGTAAAATCTAATAATGTCGTTTAAAGGTAAATACATAGAACAATTAGTATTAAAAATGTTATAATATTAATAATAATTTACCTCTTCCGCAGACAAAGAGTGCTGAACAGCGGAGGACTGCATAGGACTATTTATTCCTTTAGAATTCTTAGTAGGATTCTTTTTTTTTTTTCAAAGGACTCTGACTGTAACAGAGAAGAATGAGAATAGGTTATATAATTATGTACTTTTCAGGAATTTATGTATATTCTAACTATTATTGGAATTGCGCCAATACTTAATACGTAGATTTATTTTGAGAAATAATTCAAAATCATGTGATGTGGCCTAAATTATAAGATTTTAATTTCTTATTACAGTAATCTGCTAAATCCAAAATTTTCACTCATTATTTCTTTTACCGTTTAAGAAAATATACAAAAAAAAACAATAAAATAAGATTTGTCTTAAGGCTAAACTAATAAGTCTTAACGTTAACTAGTGTTCGGAATCGATTCTTAAAGTCGAAAATCTTTTGCCAAGAATCGACTAAACGTTTCTAAATAATCATTATAATAATATAAAGGTAATTCAACGATAGTAATTGTTTCAAAAAAAAGCAATTACATCTAGTTGACCTTACAGAACTTTTTATCGGATTTAATTCTATATTTAGTATTAACGTTAAGACGACACACTTGAATTGCATTGATATTATCAATTAGTTTTAGTAAATCAGGAGGAAATTGATAAAGCATTAGATGCCTCCTCATCTCCTTCTTTGCTGTCGGTCGTGCTTATCAAAATGTTCAGCCATCATACAATTTCTCATTGGGTCAAATTCAGGAATTCAAAAACCAAATTCCAACGGTTCTTTCTTTCTTAACCTTTCACAAGTATTACATGGTAATATTACTCTGAAAATCTTTAAAACGACATTATTGACAGATCCTATATCCCTTAATTAGGATGGATATTGGTGAATTCAATGAGCCACTGTTGGTCTAGTTCGACTTAATTCTATCTAGTGCTCCGAACGGGTCAGGTTCCGGTAGGGTCGGGTTGAAACACTTTCGGTTAGCGCTACGTCCCGAGTGCCCGAGTTTTACCTGTTAATGGTCATTGAATCTGGATAATCAGCCTCAACACAAAAAGATTTATATAAAATTATATTAATAAGGAATATTATAATTTTTTTTTTTTTACAAAGAAAAACATACCGCCGTAAATTCCTTTCTGTGATTAATCGTTGGGTCAGATAAATACGTTCACGATAAAAATCACTAATCATAATTTGTTAAAAATTGAAAAATATTTTAATTAATTGGAGTTCAATTGAACGAAGACTCGCTTCACCAATCATTACAACTCTAGCACCTATTATGCATTAAATTTTGTAAATTCAATATTCTAATATATACTTTTCTTAAATATTTTATAAAGGAAATGTATACATACCAATCACTTCCATAAGCTTGTCATAGTGTTCATTAAGTGGATCATTAATCTCAGTTTTAATAACATGATATTATAAATCTTGAACTGTTATCTTAGTCTGAGTTCCCATATTAAATTTTCGGATAAAAAAATTTCAAAAAATTTAGAAAAATTTCTCTTCTTTACGGCTTGACGACTTAATTTAAATATTTAACCATAGAATTTTTAAACGATGATCTTTATTTATATTATTCCTGAACTTATTATTATTATATGATTAGTATTATGTCATTATGGTTGTCAGAATATTGTCATTTCGGTCTAATGTAGGAAACCTTCCTGTAAAACATTATTCTTTAATTACATAGTAAAGAATTAAGACTAATCATTCACAAATTCTAAGACTAATAAACGAGAAATTAGACAACACACTTGAAATATAAACTTAAATATATAATCGACTCTCCATTTAAGTAATGGGTGTATTAATTATGACGCATCACGCACTAAAGATATTTCGTTATACATCGATTAAAATTGTGATTTTGGTACATTAGATTTCGTACCGAGTCGAATGGCACAAAAACATGCAGTTCCGATCACCGGATCACGAGAAACAAAATTTGAGTTAGGGAAAGCGTAGTAAGCTTAAAAGAATTTTTATAGAAAGCGTAGTAAGCTTAAAAGAATTTTTATACTAAGTAAACTGGGTTTTGTATATTAAGTAAAGTTGTTCACAATGATAAAATTTACATGCAATTGTAGTAAATTTTGAATTCTGGTATTAATTTATTTCCAAATTAAAATTTTCTGTGTCATAATACGTAGAAACGTATAAAGTAAATTTCAAAGTATCTAAAAAAATTATCTAAAGATTCACTAAATTTTGGAATTATGTAGAACTTTATGTTGCAGACAACTTTATTTAATGCGATTTAATTAAATATAGAAATCTATTTTGATCGTATTATTCATGCCCCTTCTCAGCGAGGTACCAAAATCGATATATAAATAATATAAATATGAGAACGACTTTTCGCTTGCAATAATATAATATCAAATTCGAAAAGATAAATAAACTGTTAATTGTATGATCTGGTGTATCTGTCGGTGGCATTTCCCTAAATAAATATTTATATGGATTGAAAACTAATCCAAATTTACTGTATGTAAATTAAGTTATAAATTATCACAAATAGTGTATTGCACCAACACAAATGAAAGACTAGTCCTGGATCCTTTTTCATAAATAGTTAAAACTAGCTAATAAAGCATCGCCTTAAATCAGTTACGTTTAAACTCAAATTTGTAGTATATATAATTTACCTTTTTATTAAAATTCTATTTTTTTTTTTTTTAATACCGCAAAATCGTATTTAAATTACGAAATACAGTATTAGAGCTTTCATCGAAAAAGCATATTACAAATGTTTGAAGAATGCTTTTTTATTTAATAAGGAGAAGAAATTTATGAGGTCTCGTAAAACAATAATAAAATAAAGGTAGTTAGGTTCAATTTCAAAGTAACAATTAATTAATTAGAATACGTGTAAGGGTTCGAACCTAAACTTCTGAAGAATTCCATTTTTTTAAAAAAAATTGGAAGTCGATGATAATGATAAATAAGGTTCACTATTATTAAAAACATATTATAATGATACACGTATACCTATTTTCAAAAAAAACTGGATTCAAAGATGTGACTTGCACGAGATGTTTTTATAGATATCGCGAGATAAAAATTATATTTTGGCATATTATATATAATTATAACTAATTTACTTTACTATTTTCAAATTTATCTTGCTATAAATGACGAAAAGATACATCTCTAGTCACTTCTATTATTAGACGAATGCAAATTTATCAAAAATTCCTCCACAAGTCGTTCTAAATTTAGATACCTTTACGACATTCGGAGCTGTAATTCACATGACCAAAATTATATGGAATTTTGATTTTAGAACTTACAAAAATTATATTATTATGGTCAAATTCTTGCAATTGCCTTGCAGAGTCTAATTCTATTATCCTGGAATAACTGGCAAGAATATGAATATTAGGTCAGTTTCTATCCGTCGATTGTCGTAAAAATGAAATTTGCTAAGTACTGTTCGCAAATGAATATCTGTAAAGTTATTGTCTATAAAGTGAGACGCATTGGTTAGTTTAGAACATATACATGAATTAAAAAAATCAGATTAAATTATCAGATTGAAATTATTAAAAAATTTTAACTGTCCATATAAATCGTCGCGATAACGGGCTGGACAATACTTTAGTAGTAAAGAAATATTCTTCATAAAACGAGACAACTATTTTGCAATATTTAATCCGATAAAATATTGATAATCAGTAAATTTATATATTTTTAAAGATGGCATTCGAACTGATTAAATTTAAGTTATAAACAGTGTTTATTTTAACTAGATAACAAATTCTACCAGCTAGATATTATAATTTATATTATTTATAACATTGCTAATAGATATCTACTTTTTCTGAATTTGAAATATTTCATATTCCTCTACACAAAAATAAGATAGATTAAGTGTGTTTCTAATTGCTTTTTCGTATGATTGACGTTTACAAGCACATTGACCATCTTGATTAGAATTATCCCCCATCCAAATATCATAACCACGACCAAAAGTTGGACCATATGTAGAATTGCAATAAATTGCATATCGTGTGTTTTTTACACGACTTAATATAGATGATTGAATAATACCATTTTTCAGTGAAAAAATAAAGCTATCATCACAACTCGCATAATGATTAACTGATTTATTCCATTGGATTGGATTATAACCACCAAGAATTTCATCAGTGCCTTGAACCTTCATTACTACAACAGTGTTTGCTTGCAAGTCACATAAATTCCAAAATGATTGGGTAGTAAAACCATCTCTTGTTCCACGAAGAAGTAGTTTAAACTTATATGGATTATTCGTTACTGAATATACTTCAGTTTTCTTATCAACCCATGATGCAATTTCGGCTGCATGATCTTGATTGATAACTGTTGAAGGAAATGATTCAGTTACTCTAAGTGGTAGTGTTGGTGTTGAAATCTTACGGGGAGGAAGAATTGTTGATGATATTTGCCTATCTGGAACAATATGTCTTTTAAATATATCATCCCAAAGACTTTTTTCAAGAATTTTTTTATATGGTTTTACTTTATCAAAAATGTCATCATTTGTCATTTGAAAATAGCGGATATAAGGTAAACAATTCTTTAAAGTAGTCTTTAAGATTAAAAAATTTTCGCGAGACCAATCTTTAAGATCAGATGGTAATCCTGTGCTTTGAGAAATTCCCCATCTGATAACATGTTCCCAAATTTTCCCTTCTTCCATTTGTAAATCGTCTCGCTTAATAAGTGAGATTAATGCATTTTCTGGAAGAGATGCGAAATCATCAGATTCTAAAATCTTATCTGGATACTTTGCCAAAATATCGGTACACCATTTTTGTAATTCTTGAAGCTTTTCATTTTTGAAACTTTTATTATAAATACGTGAAAAATTTAAACGAAGCCAGTGTGCATTTTCTTTAATTAAATGAGTTTCAAGATATTTTGTTAATTCATCAAGAAGAATCTCGGAGGCAACAAACATGAGTTCAAAAATAAATGATGCATCTCGATTTTCTAACAAAGCAACTCCTCCGTAGATATATCTTTTTAAAATTTGTAATTCAATAAATTCAACGTTAGTTTGAACATATACTATATCTGATATTAATTAAATATTACTCTGTGGATTTATAAAATTAGTCCCTAAATCTAAAATATGAAATTTATCCGTAATACTTAGATTTAGAAATTTAGATAAAGACTAATTATATTAATCCACTAAAAATACGTACAAGTAACTTACTTAATAATGATTTCAAATTGTTGAACAGAAATATGATTTAAATTAATCGTTTTAATATTATTTTTATCTTTGCTAACCTTCGTTAATTCATTATTAAAATATAATGATCTATATTTTAATATATTTGTATGTGCTTGGAATATCTTGGTATTTTGTGATTCTCCAACATTAATAATTACATTAAAATCTTCTTTGTCATTAAGAAGTTCAAGGTAATCATTTGAAAGTTTTTCAAAGAATTTTTCCATCTTGAATTTATTATTATTTTAATCTTCTGTTTTAGTTACGCTATTTATATATACGTACAGTACAGTACTTTGTATGACCATTACATAGACAAGGTTTGTGGCACAGTAGACAACTGATAATTGGACAATAACTGCAACAAAATGTCACGGATGATTATCAATTGTGATTGGTATTATCATTATTATACCGATACAGTATGCTGA